CAGAATTAGAAATACCACATGCTGTTGCTACAGAATATAAGGTAACTAATGAGGCCCTACCAATACCCAGCATTGCTTCCATCTCAACTATACTTTTTGGCCTTTAGGGATTTTAGTCAGATTTGCAGCATTATTGTAACAAGCATTTTAAATTTAACTTCTGTTTTAGTGGCATTCTGGAAGTGCATAAAGACCCTTTTTCATTGACATTGTGAATGGCATCATTACAGTTCTCTCATTAGCATCATAATGACTCTAAAGGAATAGTAAGTGAAAATGGAGTAGTTGCTAAAGGAATAGTGAGCAAATGGAACAGTATAGTACTCCTCAGCAGCCTCTTACTGAGCAGAACTGCATGCATGCAATGAAAATCTGACATTTTAACCTTCAGGCTGCTTCAGATGCCTTAGGGTGTTCTCTTAATGTAGGCTTTTGGCTGGCAACAGGGAAAATCTGTAGTAGCCTAAGGTTTGAGAGCTGGGTTCAATATAAATTTGGTCTGGCTTCCATACCACTTAAGCCCACACAAGCCTCGGCAAAATGATTTTATGACATAGATCTCTCCCTCAAATCCAGCTTTTATGCTATGCTTCTGTAGAGAAGTATATACTGTACTCAGTTCTCATTATTTTTAAAGAAATCTATAAATTATCCATTACATAAGATAAATAAGAATGCAGGAGCATGACTAGTCTCCCTAATACTGATTATACTCTTCCTGTACCTGTTGAGCTGGAGCCAAAATTTCACCACCCACTCATATGACAGAGGTATCATCAACATATTCAAGGCAATCCTGAGGTTTGTAGTTTAGGAAAAAAGAAAGCTAAGAGAATGAAAAATCCTTCAGACATATCCATGAAAGCACAGCATTTTGAGTGAGAGGATGGTGGTAAAAATGACAACTGGGTGGGAAGGAAAATATGATGGGAGAGCCTTGAAAGGGAGACAGTGCATTCACATAACACACTAAGCCAACTTATGAATAAGCTGTGGTTAAGTTGCTTGTTTGAGGAATAGCACACAGTTTGCCTGACAGATGATATGGATTCTCCCGTTCCTTGAATTTCAGTTCTCCAGCTCATCCTGGCCCATAGTCCATTACCCTTTGTAGCAGAGCAAATCTTGTTCCCTTCAAAGAAGTGCAATTGGTGTCAGCAGGTTTTCCCAGCCCCTGAAAATGGCAATTGGAGTCATAATATTTTTTAAAATTATTTTTGTTAGTCTTTTGCAAGTGCACTTGTAGATCTGTCTGATACCTGTGGTCTTGCCTGGTCAATATCCTTGTCTGTTTCATTTGTCAAAGGGACAGGTGGAGTATGTAACAGATTGACGAGGTGAGACTGCATATAGGCTAGTTTGGGTATAGTTGCCAGAAACCAATCGCCAAGTTCTCAGGTAAAAAACACTAGTAAAGGGTAAACAGTAGCACAAGAAGGTGTCCTCCGAATGGAGTGGGAGATATTTTCCCCATAGTAATGTAAGGCCCTTTATTTTAAGTGTTAAACTGACAGTGCTAAGTACCCTTCACCTTTTCAACACTTCCCCAAGTCTGCAGCTACTCCAGAAAGAGGAGGTATCAATTCATTCCTCTTTTTTACAGCTTCTTTCAGGAGCACTTACTGCTGGAGTTGCTACAGTTCTTTGACTATTCTAAAAATCCCCTGCACAAATATGTGTGGATTTAGTGGCAGGGAAGTAAATAAAGGGAACATTTGCACCAATTTAAAGGCTGGGAAGTAGATTGAGGGGAAATTTGCACAGCTGCAGTAACTGAGCCAAAAATAGCCACAAGCTGGGGCGGGGAGAGGGGGGATTCAATATTGTCCTTTTCTGGAGTGTATCACACACAATTGCATTGCCTTTTTCAACACCCCAAGTGAATAGAACTGCGTGAGTGGGAGAGCGGGGATGTGCTTGCTGGTGGTCCTCTGTCATATCCTTGGCACCAAGCTCTATTGCCTTCCTTCCACATGTGTACCAGGGGAGCCATGTCTGCAGCTGGGACCTTTCTCTGTATATGGAAGTTCTCTGTGCAATTTAGAACTCAGAACAGTCAGTGCTGCAAGTTATGCAGGGAGTCCAATTCAGGCTTCCACATCCAACATGTGGATGGGGACAGGATTGGACAATGGACATGTGATGGAGGGAGTGGAGCCAGCAAGTGCAACACCATTTGCCTGACCCCTCTTGCACGATGAGGATGAATGTCTGAATAAGGTTAGTGAGGGACAGAAATCTGCAAGCTGCAAAAAACCTACCGCAAAGATAAATACATAAATTAAACAAGGAGTTTGGCATTATAGGTTTTTCAGTGTTTATTTTGCAAGGAGATAAAAAGCCAGAAGCACTGGAAAAGTAGAGGGGTTCTAACATGTATAGATTCTGACACTCACCACTCCTTTGGGAATTAACACTGTGATTATGTAGCACATTTTAGAAAATAAATTTAAAAATATGCACCATCTTTCAGAAGACCCTCTTTTCATCACAAGTCACAGAAGCAACCAAACAGTTTAGAGAAATGGATTGCTAAAGTTTTGCCTATGAAGTTAAAATACATGTGTGCTGAGAGCTGTAATGCAAACATGACAAATAACTTATTATATAAAACCCAATCCAGCAGGAGTGAACATACATGTAAAGGGGTTTACGTATCATTCTTTTGGACTTTTATTTATGAAAACATTTGCACCTCACATTTTGTATCCAAAACAAAAAATACCCAAGGCTTGGCTTTGAAGGTTTTGCTCACAGAAAAAAAATAATGCATCCAACAGCTGTGTTGGGATAACCATTCTGGAGGGGTTAGGTGGGAGAATGAAGCTGTAATCCCTTAGGGTAAATCCCAATGATCTTAATGGGGTGTACTTCTGAGTAGATATGAACTGTATGTAGACATGCACTGAGTAGACATGCATTATATATATACAGGGTACCTCCTTTACCCGATCTCACAAATGGTGATAATAATCTGGAGATTCTGAAGCTTCAAACTTACTTTCTTTAGGATATTCTTTTAGGGTCACATTAATATAACACACATAGTCAATTAAAACCATTTTGGCCCAAGTCTAGGCAAAATTAGTGATACTGAAGTCCTATTGAAATGAGTGGAATATACAGTGATGAGTATCTTAAGCCAGTTTCAAAGAAATTTAACTATAACTAAATTCCTCTGGATTGGTACCACTGAATAGTCGTTAACTAGGTATGCTGGACTATGCTAAAACAACACTCAAGCTTTATTATTATTATTATTATTATTATTATTATTATTTTTTTTAGGAAAGAAAGAAAATTCCAAACCATAGTCTCCTATGGCCAAATCATTATTTCACAGTTTGCTGGTTGACAAAATATGTTAAGGAGCACTTTGCTAAATCTGGAGCACTTCAGTGGCTGTTGTCACAATTTTAATTCTGAAAGTAGTGGAAGTATTCTAAGGTTTGATCTGTTAATCATTTATAATTGGAAACGTTTGTAAGTAGTCACACATTGGCCCCAATCCTGTGTATGAGAGCAAATGCAACATCCTCTGTCTCTTAGTTGAAATAACAGGGAGATCCTCCAGGCATCTGAGCACCATCCGGAGGTTCTGAATATTCCTAGTTATTATTGTTCTTAGTCGTGACCCTCTTGCTTCATCAGTCTTGACCAGACAGACTTTAATACTTAACATTCGGCTGGCTTTCCATTCCCTTTCCACTCCCCCCCCCGCCCCGCCCCGCTCCCCCTCCGCACTTTGGAAGATCTCTGTCTTCCTTCCTGCAGTGGCATTGACTTGAGAAATATGTGAAAACTTGAAATGAAACTAAATTCTTGTTTCTTGGAAAGTGCAAGGAATGACAGAGGAGGCGTCTGGTTTGTGTGCCAAAGAGTAGGTGAATTGTGGAAAGTGCATTGTGATGTGGGTTGCCTATCCCCTTTCAGAAAGTGTGCCCCCCTCATTTTCTCTCTCTCATTCTCTCTCCCTCTCTCCCTCTCTCTCTGGGACTGGATGGATAGCTCGCACAGCCTGGCTCCGGCCCCGGAGTCCCTGCTCCTGTTTAATATTCTACTTGCTCCACTGATGTTGTGCTTGGCTCCTGTGGGACTGCAACTCACGGCTTGAAACCGGAGCCAATTTTCTGTCTTAATCTCAGTGTTTTGACTGGAGGCAGATCCAGTTCAGCCCAATCGGGGCTGGTGGAAACAACTACCTAAGAGTCTCGCTCTGTTTCGTTTGGGGAGGGAAAGAGGGAGGGAAGGAGGGAGGGAAAAAGAAAAAAAAGGGGGAGAAAGCGAGGCAGCCAGCCACACATAAGAGACTCGCACATACAATGTCGTTGCTGAGGTCGCTGTGTGTGGAAAGAATAAAGTGATCTTCTTGCAATCTGGGAGCATCGCTCGGATCGGTTTGTTTGGATTTCTTTCTTTCAGAAAAGGAAGGGTAGAATTTGACTTAAGAGGACGGAGGCGAAGGGATTGGGGGCAGCCAGTCAGTAAATGAATAAAAGCGTTGCCTTTCTTAGGGGAAAGGCTGCGATCCCAAGTACACACACTTACCTGGAAGTAAGTGCCATCGTAATCAACGACGCTTACTCCTAAGAGAATGGGGGTGGGCGGTGAGTCTTTGAATCCAGTCCTCCTCATTTTAGCGCGAGTTGCTTCATGGCTGGGGGGAACAATTGGTTTTAAAAGAAGATGGGGAACGGGAAGGGAAAATAGCCTGCGTCTGCTAAGCGTAACGGAATGACATCCGCGGCGAGCGAGGGCAGCGGGTGAGAAAGGCCAGCTACAGACGGGGAGGCATGGACCCTTCGGCGGTAAGAGAAGCCGAAGGGCTCCGTGGAGACAGCGCAATGCCAGGCTGACTGCAGGGTGCAGGCACGCAATGGCCGCTGCCCGGTAGACTAGGGCAGGGCAGGGCAGGGCAGGGCAGGGGGTTGCGGGCGGTGGCTGTCCCACCTCACGGGCCAGGCGATCTTTGTCTCCGTTTGCAGGTCGGAGGTGCAGCGATGACTCTGGTGCTGCCCCTGAGCAGCTTCTGCGAGCCCATTGTCTCCTCCGAGGGAGCCGGCGAGTTCCAGCCTCTGTGGGAGTCGCGCTGTTGCAGCAAGAGCAGCCCCGCCTCGGATACAGCCGCCGCGGGCGGCAGCGGCAGCGGCAGCGGCAGCAGCGGTGGCCAAGGCCAGGCACAGCTGCCTCCGCAGGGCAGCGACGGCAGGGCACCAGCTGGGCAGACCCCCGCGGCAGGAGGTAAGGCTGTTTCTTAAGGGAAGGCGCTGCAGTTAGTGGCATGCGCGCCATATTATCATCATCGTTAATGTATCCTTAGTTTAATTTGCCCTTTTAATAAATATTAATTTATTCTTATTATCACTAACAGCCTTTATTTATCCTTACTACAACCTTGCCAGGTAGATTAGGCAGAGGGAGTGACCAGCTCAAGGTCACAAAGTGGGCTTTTTGTGCCAACTGTCACCAAAGTATCCTGTTTCTAAGAGTGGGCACCTCATCGGCGGGGCACGAAGGCAAGCACCTCCCCCTCCCCTTGTTCCTCCCCACAGCCTTAGCATTTGCTGTACTTCCACTGCACACAGAAGTTCTATTTAGCTCTCACGGCTAATGGGCCTTTGGCTGTGGGACTGCTGCTGTTCTAAAAGGAGATGTATTAGAAAACTTTTCCAGCCATTCAGAGTGCCTTGGGATGCAATCCTATCATCTGAAGGAGGACATTCCAGGATCCATCGGCAAGGGAGGGCGCGATGCCTTTTGGATGTATCCATCTCTCTGCCACTGCTGCTGCTCTGTTGTCTGTGTTCCAACAGGGGAACCATGCCCCTGGAATAGACGTGGGGGAGTATACTTGGTAGTTCTTCCACCATCATTTCAGCCTCTTCATCCTCTTTGGACTGCTCAACTCTGGACTAGTAGGGTGGTTGCTTAAGGCATTTTACATCACCTGCTCAAATGCACTTCATTCTTAAGGTTGCGCTGAGATGGGAAAAATAGGCCCTGGTATGTCCTCACTCAAACTTCATAGATGCTGAACAGTGGCTGGTTTTGAAAAACTTGGCGTCTCTCCCAGCCTTAGTCATGGATCCTCCTTTGAGTGGTAGAGATGAGTCCTGGAACACAGGGAGCAACAGCATAAAGAACAGTGCCCTTTCGACTTAATCCTCACAAGAGATGAGAAGGTAAACCTACATCTGAGCCACAGCACTTTGGACTTCAGGTGGGAGCTAACATGACTAAATTTTTCTCTGTGTAAGTGATGGAATTCCCTTCAGATAACAGACAAGCCCTAGTTGTCAGGCAACAGGATTTTGGCTCATCTTCATAACCTTTTCCCCTGGATTTTCTATTTATATGGAGAAATTCCCACCTTCTGCCTGAAATGGTATAGTCCAGGCACAGGTTTGGCTCCTCATCTCTGTGAGAACCAGTTCTTTATATTTGTAGTCTCGGTACATACAGCATGTCTTTCTTACTTCATTTAATCCCCATAACAAGCCATTTAGGGCAAAACTTGTTAGACTTTCAGGATCTAAGGGGCATTAACTCATCATTCTGCCATAGTTTAGATTAGTGTTTCTCTTCTGTTCTTCTGCTTTTGGGCATGAGAAGAGTAAAGGCATCTCTGCTTTCTCTTTGGAAGAGACCACAGCAGTTTTTCATTTGGTCAGAATGCATGGAACTGTGGCTTGTTCTAACTAAAGTTAGTTTTTAAAAACCTGATTCAAACTGTGGTTTCAGATTTATTGGATTGTTAATTAACTTGGATTAAAATAAGCCACATTTCCTCAGGTACAGACATCAGGATCCATGGAGCTGTGGATTGTTAGAGTAAAAACAATCTTTCACACAGACAAGGAAAGGGAAAGGGGAGGCTTAGGCTTATCATGAATCATAGTCATGGTTTAGGTTGAAGGGTTGTGATTTTTTCCTGTGAAAGGCTTTTGACCCATGATAAAGCTTGTGTGTGTGATGGGGGAGGGGGGGGGGGAAGGCACCAGTTGATGATAGGAAAATCCAGTACCCAAAGTAGATGGAGTTTAGCACTGCAGGATCGTGCAGTTCTCTCTCCCCTTCCTTCCTTCCTTCCTTCCTTCCTTCCTTCCTTCCTTCCTTCCTTCCTTCCGTGCTTACCCACATGAAATTAGGCTGTGTGCTACATGCTGTCTGTGGACTGCAGATTTCCTAGCCCAGGTTTAGGTGATTGTTGAACCAGACCAAAACCTTTCATTTCAAATGTAAGCACTGGGTCTTTCTTACTTTTAATTGCAAATTATGTGTAAGCTGGTTGTGGTTATATAGTGGAGGAAGACACTCTAACACACTTAAAGTTATTCTCTTTTATTTTGCTTTGGAATTCATTGTTTTAATTGTGCAGCAAAGCCTAATTCTAAAAGTTCAAATAAATAATAGAAGTATATTAGCTTGCTATGGATCTGTGAGACTTTTAATGTTACTGGCTGATTAAATGTTTGAATATCTTTGACTTCTAGCTGCCGTCAGCATCTTGCTGGCCATTTCTCTGAATAATATTTTAGAATCCACATGTTCCTAGCCTGAGTCCCAGGTTCAGAAGCAAGTTCTGGGGCTAGGGCCTGTGCTGTCCTGTCTCAAAAGAAAGTTTATGCCACCCAGTTTATCTCATATATCATTTATTGGAGTTTTAAATTAGCACTGGGGAAAAAGTAATAAACCCCAAACAGGTGGCCATATTAAATGCTAGACAATAATTAAAATTTTACTCTCTGTGGTAGCATATGGTTTTGAGTGTTGTGACCCTGACTAGATTACAGTATCCACTGGTTTCCAAAGAACTCAAAGTAATTACATTTTTTTGGCTACCTGTTCCAAATCTGTTCCTTTCTATTGAGCTTAAAGATCATAATTTCAAATTGGTTTATAACAACTTATGCATATTTGAAAAATAATTTACAAGATTTAGTCTTCTTACAAAGCCAGTGCTGTTTCTGGCCAGAAGAGGTAGTACAAGTGTACTGTATTTTCCTAATAAGTTGGCTGTTATTGAGTGACATGAATTTTGGGGGATTGGGGATTTAAACATGCTGAAGCAGGAAAACCCCACGTGTGTCTACATAAATGACATTAAGTGGAAATAGGCACCAACTTTCACAGGCACATCAGGAAGCAAACTTAGGCTCTATATCCTTCCTTTATGTGGTCCAAAGCTCTGCCACCATGGCTGCCCTGCAGGTGATGCTCCATGAGTGCTATGGGCAAAATCCTCCCCTTTGTCTGTCAGGGGAGGATTGGAAGAGGCTTTGAATGCACCAGATCCAAAGCCTTCTCTTTAGACATGGCCCTGCAATGAGGGAATGTATGTGTGCCAAACTTGGAACTGGAATAGTTGTTATTAAAACAGAAAAAAACAGGGAGGAAGAAAGTGGGGAAGGTCTTTTTTCTCCCATGGCTGGCGTAATTCCATGGACATTTCACCTAGACTTGATAGGATTGCTTTGTCCATGTAGTAACTATCCCCACCCTCATCCAGAAATTTGGGGGAGTTCCTACTAATCATAATTTTTTCCCAGGAAGTAGGAGCATGTGCTAGTATGAAGGGGGATAAGGACTTAATATTATAATGCCTTTTTTAGTTAGCAAGAATACCTACCATAGTTTTTACCGAGTATATTTTTGTTAAGTCAGACTTGAACATCATACATAGCTAATGCTTGTTGTCAGTGTATTAAACTTAATTAATCCTATATTTTAATGGTTTTAATAACTTTGTATTCTTCAAACTAGCATAGTGATGAATGCGACCATTATTGAAATGGGTTGAATAAAAGCTTTCTTAATGTCAAATTTAGAGAAAGTACTTAAGTTTGTAGGACAATTGTGCTTAAATACACAGACTGCTTTCCTAGACTGTCAGCACTACTATTAAACTAGCTTTTTATTTTGTTGATACCATAAAACTTATAGAAATATGAAGACGAGTTCTAATGAATTAAAAGGAACAGTATTTCCTTTGGAACTCCTCATGCAGACTATATGCCAGTTGTCTCCTGTAATTTATTTTCCACAGGATCACATCACAAAGGAGTTTCAAATCCTATAGCAACATCTAAGGTTACATACATTAAAAGGAAATATGTGGAAGAGGAAGATTTTCATCCTCCGCTCAGTAGCTGTACACCTAAAGTAAGTTTTAAAAATTACATTTCTGATATGGGGGCACACATTCTTGAATCAGAAAATACTCCAGCAAGGTTGTAACTATATTTTATTTTCCGTAAATATTAATGTTCTATTTCTTCTTAAAATGTCTATACCCACTTTTCTGATGTTGTTCTGTACAAAGCAGCTGCCCCTTTTGAGTTAAAAGCGGCGGCGGGGGGCGGGGGGATGGTTATGTGCTCTAATAAATAAGGAAGTATCTGTGATTAATACTTCTTCTGTAGAATTTAGATTTGGCACTTTAAGTTCATAGTCCAAACATTTTGCACCTCCTTGAATAATAGGGTCATTGAATAATGACCCCACCCACTGTGCACATTTCTACATTCTCCATGCATCAAAATTAACACCAATGTTGGGAGAACTGACGGGTATTTGAATGCTAAGTCTTTCTAACTCACTATATTGAGTCCATGTTTCTTAGTAGGAAAAATCAGATGGAGGTGGATACATTTTCTGTAAAAAATATCAGTGATGACCTGGGAAAATATAATAAATAAAATATTTGACTATGAAGTGCTGTAGCTCTTTGGTAGTATACCTGGTTTGTAAAAAAAATCTCAGTTCTTGGCTGGGGGAGACCCCTATCTGTGAAACTTTGGAAAGCCAGCACCTGGTGGCATTGCCAATACTACCACTGCAAGGTAGCTCTCTATATTACTGTTCTTTAATGTCACTTGAAAAACTATCAGCTAAGTCAGGCTTCTACCCAGCCTAAATAGGAGAGTTAAATCTGGGCTAAGTATTCTGCCTAAGTACTTATTAAATTCAGACAAACTTGGTACCTCTTGATTCATACCTTATCTTTTACTCTTGGTAAGGGAAGGTGCAAAGCCCCAGATTTTTGAGCCTGATGTCCCAGGCCAAATCTCAGGTTAGCCATAAAACCACTGGATGGCCTTAACCAAACTATTAGCATTCAGCTCCAGTTTCTCCCCCCTCATTATGATATTGAGATAGAAATAGCCTGTCTAATGGGGCTGTTACAAGAATTTAACATTGTGATGCCTGACCTGCTGACAAGTCTATATCTGCAGTAAATTGAGAAGCTTTAAAATGTGTGTGCATCTTACCTTGAGCATTATGCAACCAGAATACACCTACCACTTGCTGGACATTCTGCATGCCATTTGGAAGATGCATTTGATAAGAAGCCTTTATACTGGGTACCAAAAATTAGTATGCTGGCCTGGGGCTCTAGAGAACACTTTTCCCTTCATACACACTGCAGCAGCTGCACTTTGAGCAGTTGGCTCAAGGGCTCTGGTACTTTCTCTGTAAGTGAGGATCAGAGTTGCTTCTGCCTCTCAATCTATTGCAAAGATTATAAGGATATGGCAGATAAACTTGCTCTGTATTTGTTGATAATTGTGTTCTGCTAAATGTTGATCTAGGCTACATTCCTAAGCACCTTCACTAGGGAATAAGCCTCATTGAACATAGTGGAACCTACATCTACGTAAACATGCATAGGATTACTGGTTGATTTTTTTCTCTCATGTGAATTTTGTTACTGCACTATGTGGTGTTTTGTATTTGATTTTGTTAGCTCCTTGAGTAAGCAGCATAGATAATTTTTAAGTAAATAAACATTACTATTATCGTGTAAAGTGTGTTGAGGGTCACTACACTGAAAAGCTTTTCAGTGGCCTGCAGGTAGGATCTGCAGTGTCTGGCCCTGAGACAATGTAGATAAAATGTTTGAGAACCTGAGACAAGAACAAAATGAATGCTGTGGCTTGGTTCCTGGTATCACAAGTGTAAGGAAACTGGTGGAAATGGATTTTCCTGCATGCTCCTCTCCCCTGAAGTCCTTTACATCCCCTGAAAATCTCTGGAAGGTCAATGGCCCATCCTGAGCAGTGTGAGCTGGAGTGTAGGGTGCTGCTGAAGGAGGGAGGATATTGTTGTTGTTGTTGTTGTTGTTGTTGTTTCCTGCTTGTTTTCAGAGATTGGAACACTTGTTGACCAGAGAGAGTAGAGACAATTCCCATCAGCTCCCTAACCCTCTAGATAGAAGGCAAAAGTTCATCTACTCACCACACAGGATCCAAACCTGTATGAATCTGCTGCCACAAGTTGTAGTGATGGCCACCCATTTGGATGGTGTTTAATGGGGATTAAAAACATTTACAGTAGAAAAAGGTATCGGTAGCTATCAGTCAGTTGGCTATACACAACCTCCAGCATCAGAGACAGTACAGCTCTTAAGCACCAGTTGCTGGGGAACATGAATAGGATGCTGCTGCTGCACTCAAGTTCTATAGACAGCCAGCTCTTGGCCATCATGGGAACAGAATGGCAAACTAGATGGATTCTTGGTCTGTTTTTATTTTCAGTAAACAACAGCTCTCTTAAGGGCATTGTCCTGCTGCATGCTCCCATTAAAGAATAAACTTTCTAGTTTCTGATCCTAATGGGTATCTCTGATGCTAAACTATGTGTAGCTACAGATCCCTCCCCTTTTTTATTTTTCAGTCTCCCCTTCTCCCTACTTTCCTACCATTTAGGACATTGCATTCCAGTTGAACAGTCCTTATAACTGAGATTTTTCTATCCTGTAACAATAGAGAGAATACATAAAAGTATTAGTGTATTGCAAGATTGCCATATTGCCTGGACATCTGGAAAATCAAGCTTTAAGCCCAGGAGAATGTCAGACTCCATGGTTCATGTGTATCATGACCTTTTTGCTAAGTAAGATTGCCAAATGTGATGGTGATTTTTGTATAGTTTTCCACTGGGAACTGGACAGAGACCAGTAGATAGTTTCACAGAAAGCACAGAGCAGCCCTGGCAGATTCTGATCGGTTTCCAGTTACAGGCAACAGTGACTGCAATTGAACCAGAGACCTTGAGGTGAAAGAGTATGTCTCTTTTTAAGTACTTTGAAGACTCAGTATATACAATGAGCTTCTTGTTTATAAACATATGTTTATGGTAAACAAATCTTTTTTAGAAAATTTAATGCCACTACTTCATTCTGTATCAATTACCGTAATATGAAATGTTCATTTCCATAGTTTTTCTAGAAATGGATATTTGTTAAAAATAATAATACCGAGTTTGGCTTTGAAATGGGATGAGCACAAAGCCTAGGAATAGTTCACAAAGGACGAGAAACATGTGAGAATGTGTAGAGGAGGACTTTTGCTTAAGCAAGAGGGTTATTGTGTTGATTTGAGAAAAGCTGCATGTTTTTGAAAAAATGGCCTGGAAAATTTCCCCATAGTCTTCATAGGAAAGATCTTTCCTCTCTGCCAAAATTCCATGGCCACAGGGGGAAAGATAAAAAAGGATAAAAAAAGAACATAAAGAGAAATGTCTCCTCTCCTCCAATAATACTTGCTTATGTTTTGGGCTAATCTGTTGAAGGGAGTGAAAGGAGAAGCAATTATGCCAGTGTGAATTTTTTGAGCAGGTAACCCTTGTTTCTTTTACCCGGGCTTCTGAACTAGCAGAAATTATCTGGAAACATCATCCTCCCCTTCACTCTAACTGCTGCACTATGAAAGAAAGGACATCATTTCCTGTTTTTTTGAAGCTGTTTCTACCCTTAGTCTACCTCGGTCAACAAGGTAAGGGAAGAGTAGCTGCAGAAAACAGGAAAGGGAACCATCAAGGCCAGAGTGAAGGGTAAGTATTGTTAGGGACCTGTTCAAGGTGGCTATGGCTACAATCCTAAAACATTTAAGTTTCATTGAACTCAATGGGGCTTATTTCACAGTAGGCATATCTTGGGGTGCACTGCCAGTATTTTTGGAGGAAGTGTGGTACCCCTAAATGTTTATAGGGGTTTTGGTTTGCTATTCACATATACACTGTACACACTGACACAGTTTGGCTCAAGAAGATTCTTCACAGCTGCACTAGCATGGAAAAAGTAAACATGCCAGTTCTGCTTTCCTGCATATATTGTCAAGAAGCTACCTTTCTTGGATGCAGAAAGTCCTGCTATGGTGGTAAAGTCCAGTGCAATACACAGCAAGCTGCTAATAGTGACTAACCACAGGATAGGTTTGACAGAAACTGAATGGGCAGTTTAAACAAAAAACCCCTAAAACTAATAGTCTTAAGAGAAATATGGATACCCCAAGTGATGGCCAGACTGGCCAAATTTTAGCAGCACATTTCAGCTAATCTCCTCTGCACTGATCTTTGTTTTCATCTCCTTTCTCTTTCATTTGTAGACAATATCTGTCTTTGAAGAGCGAGCACACATTCTTTACATGTCTTTGGAAAAACTGAAGTACATTGATGACCCTGAAGTCTATCTCAGGAGATCGGTCCTTATCAATAATTTAATGAAGAGAATTCATGGGGAAATCATCATGCAAAACAACTGGTGTTTCCCTGCTTGTTCTTTTGGCAGCGCCTCAGCCCAAGAGTGGTTCATGTCTCATGACTGTCCTTATAGGAAACGCCTTCGGATGGCACGGGAGGACTGTGAAAAGATCCAGACCTGCTGCTTTTATCAAGAATGTGGCAGCCACTACTTAAGTTTACCATTATCTACCAGTTCTGCAGTGGGGAATTCCTCCTCCTCTTCTTCCTCCTCATCTTCATCCTCATCTTCCTCTATATCTTTGCCAAGTTGTTCCCAACAGGTGGAATATGGTATAAGCAGTGCCCCTGTTTACAGGAGTGATGATCAGATACATGCCAATGAAATTTTCATCACTAATGCCAGGCCACATGGCAATCAGGACAAGTCAATATTAAGCAATGAAAAGGGGAGCCATGAAATGGAACGAGACCAGGCTTCAGACTGGGAACCTATGAAAGGCGATTATGGTGTTGAATGTAAAAGCAAATATTATGACTATTTTGAGACGGGACATGGTGACAAAAGCAACATGAATGAATCTTGGAAAAAATCCTTACGAAAAAGGGAGTGTTTACCAGGTGGCAAAATATGTTGCAGTAAAGGAAGCAAAATATGAATTATATAATTACAGTTGTGAAGCACACACAGCATGTTGAATTTATCAAACACAATTTCATTCTGGATGGATGTTCTTATACTTTTATACAACCAATACAATCGTGGCATAAGCTTCATGGATAGTTTTAATGACTTGACTGGGGAGAAGATTGCTTCTAAGTGTATGTATGGTCTGCATCATAGAGCTATTTATAAAGATATGGGATCTTCATAAAGAGCACAGTTGAATTGAGATACGTATTTTAGCTTTTGTTGCTGAAAGAACTAATAAACTAAAGGAAGAAAACATCCCTTTTCACATAGCCTTCCCCTGGGTAATCTAACAAGAATTAAGAGGAATCTCCTTTATGTTTATCAGCTAACAGTGCATTCGATAAGCGAAGTATTACCAGCAAAGGGGGAGGTATACGTCTTGCCCAACAGGAATGGCTGTGAGAAAGACTGCATATAATTGAAGAGGAATAAATCCACATTGTGATCTAGTATTGACACTATTCAGATGTATTTAACTGTTTGATTTAATTGATAGGGTGTAATATCACCTTATGGAATCTTAATCAGAAATACCACATACAGTTTCCAGCACATGTACAGTTTTCAGCTAAGCTGCAAGAATGAACGAGCCTTATGGTGGTTTATTACTATAAAGGGCAGAGTTTCCTTGGTGCCTTACTTTTTATCTTAATTTTTCCAGGGTGAAAATTAAGTTAAAAAAAAAACCAGCTACAGCAGGGATGTAACCTAAACAGGAAAAATAATAACAGGGTGGATTGAATATTAGTAGAAACCTGTATTCTTTGAAATACAGAGTTTGATTTCCTATTCAAATGCCTCTATTCTTTTTTGCTCAATTGCTTTTTGGTTTGCCATCCTTGGGAAGGGATTGAAGAAAAAACAATAGAGAGATGTCTCTTGTAAACAAGCATTAGCTGCTTGAACATTTCTATGGCAACTGTCTGTTGCTGTGAATTTTCCTTTTTCTTTCTGGTATAATGAAGTTCATGAACCAGTGGCATGCTTTATACTTTACTCTGTTCACATCATTTTCTCTCTTTAAAACTGTAAAGAGCATGTACTGGGGTTTCATATAACTGTAGGGTTTTTTATTTTGGAAAAAAGCACAATGTTAATAAATGATGTGGTGATACAAGATTTTTATCTGAAATGAATGTAAGGGTTTAATTCCCCCCCTTTTTAAAGATTATCTTGGAGAAACAGGGGGGATAATCTTCAATTGTTAGAAATGAATTTTAGTTAGAGTTATTTTAAAATGCACATTTGGGGCAGGATCCAGGTCAGATTCCACACTTTTGAATCCCACTGATACCTGTGGGAGGGTTAAGAACACAGTTAATACTCTCCTGTAGAAATCGCTAAGATTGTTCATGGTTAAAAGAAATAAGCCAGTTGGAAAAAACATGGTCCTTTACTCATACCCTCCCCACTGGGGAGTCTGGCATGAATGAAGAGCAATCTTAATATGCACAAAGTGCTTATGTTTTGCTAGATCATGCTCTTATTTTTGTTCAGAAATGAATAAAGAACTTCCTCGCACCTGGACCCAACCTTAAGGTGAAACTTATGGACACCTCATGCCCCTAATTTAACAGTACTGTAACAAATTGTAACTCTTAATGGTTGATTTTCAAAGGCTGGCATTTTATTTTGTGCAATCTCCACATGAATTGCTCAAACAACCATACATTTCCTTTCAAATCCCATTCTTCTGCCCACAACCCAGTTTGTAAAGAAAGTCCAAAACAGCAGTAACCTGTGTTCCTTCTTTGGGCACACTTTTGATACAAAAAATCTGCAAAAAAGATGAACAAAACTGGACCTTATGCAGGCCTAGAAATCTTAGGAGGAAGAGGAAGATAGTTCAGTGAGTGGAATAAATGCCTCGTCTGCAGAAGCTTATACCCCAGCTCCAGTTAAATGTCCAGCTACCAGGTAATGGGAAAGACTTCTGCAGAGATTTGGTGCCAGCCAGAATAGACAATGCTGGACTAAATAGACCAAATTGTGTGGCCTAATATAGTTTCCTGTCCAATGCTCAGTGTCTGGCATGGAAGCCGTTCAACCTAATTGTAGCTGATTGGCAGGCCAGTTCTGGTTATTGGTGATGGAAAAGCACTCAATGCAAACCAGAGGCAGTAGCTACTTCATATATTCTAGGGCAAAGCATGCGTTTAGTCCATCACTGGGAGTCAGAGTTGGGCAAGAGGAGGATGACATGGGTAAATCTTAATCCTTACCTCCCCATCTGAGGACGCAGAAGCATCAGAGAATGGTGCGAACAAGGAGGCAGGCAGAAAGTGCCAGGAACGTGTACATTAGCTACACACATGTGCACATACAGGGGTTCCATGGCTCATACTGTGGATCTAGGTGAAATTAAGCCTATGTATCCTGCAAACAGATTGTTTCCCCACAATTTTAATGTTACACAATGGCATTAGGGGATAGGAGGCAGAAGACTTGAAAAATGATGGCGATTTAAAGCTTTCCCTTTTTCAGCAGTTGCTGAGCATGTAGTGGGAGAGGAGAGATGGCTATGTCCTCTGGGCTACTAAGGCTGCACCTGTAAAGAGTACGCCTTCTTTGCCTTCCCTTCAGCTTTTTCCTGTATATGAAATAACCAGAATAAGCAGATTTTCTGGAAGTGGAATAGGTGTAGGATCACTTACTGTTACCTAAGTATAATTTTTCTTCAGTATATCTGAAGTATATCTTCTTCTTCAGAGATACTAGCCCAAGAATGATTTCCATCCAGCTTCATATGATATATATTATTCAAAATAAGCACAGCTGACCTTTGTACAAAGTGGGGCTGTATGTATCCAAGGAGTCCAAAGATCATCCAAAAGTACTGGGATAACACAAAAGGAGTTTAATTTTGCCCTAAATACAGATACAATTTAATGTCACTGTAGCTATGCCAGAAAATTGATAGGCCCTAATAGTTGTCTTAATTGATTTTATATTCCTCAGCATGTGCCTGTGTCAAGACTCACAGCCCTGCCTCCAACAGCCCAGCAAGTTTTAAAGAGTCAACAAATGAGGTAGTGACCTCCCTTTTCAGGGAATGGGGCAATTCTGGGCTAGAAATCACAACATCTCGCAAGAAGGGAGCACCATCCTATGAGACTCTGGGTGTTGCAGGAATATATGGCAGAAAGGAGTGGGATGCTGTGGAAGGAGTAGCACATGCCTTCACTGTATTAGGAGTCAGAGTTGGACAAAAGGAAAATGGCATGGGTGGAATTTAATTCCTTCCTTACCTCTACATCTGAAGACATAGAAGTAATCAGAGAACTGCTGCAAGGAGACAAGATAGGCAGGAAGTACTCCAACTTGGACAGCCAACAGCAACACTAACATGTGCAGACAGAAACATGCTTAAAATAATGGCAAGTAGTAAATTCAGGATCCTTAGAAACCATTAATCCAAAGCAAGATTCTCATGCAGGGATAACCTCACTACAGATTCCAATGCTCCAGTCCAAAGTTAACCTTGTATGTGTAAAGGTAGGAAATATACTTGAGAGTACATAGTTCTCTTATTCTGCTGTCTTCTTTAAAAGTCTGTGATTTGCACCAGATACAATTACATTATGCTGTCTTCACTTTCCTTATGTGCTTAGAGAAATTCTGCAAAGAATTAATGTAAGATACAGCCATGCCAATATTAGGAAACTCGCAAGGTTGATCAATATTAATAGCATCTGATTATTAAAAAGCTATCCTACCTTATTTCTCCAAGACAAAAGCATTTTTATTATTGCTATCAATATTAAATATAGGTCTCATTCATACAGTGTATGAGTAGGATCATTTTGTCATTTGTCCACATGGACCAATTTTTTTTAAGCCAGCTTTTCTTGTCTTATATTCAGTTGAGAATAGAAAAAAAATCTGTTCTTTTTCCAGTATATGTCAAACATCTGATGTTTTAAGCTTAGATATTTAGGTACTTGTATACTAAGATGGTGTTGTAGTACAGTGAGTTTTTTTCTTGAACTATATATTTATTAAAATGATGAAAAATCATTTTGATTTTAAAAAATTAAATGTGATTGTTGTTTTTTCTTTTTGTTTTGCCATCAAGAGAGAGCACTGAAGCATATTTCAGTAAGCAAAATATATGGTTGATTTTTTCATAATAATTCAACTCAAGGTATCAAATGTCTGTTTATAAAGCATTTAGGCATACTGTTTTGATGTCAGTGATGCAGATAGGGCTGAACTTTAGGACTAAAGTTCAGGGTTCCTAAGCCCAGCATCTCCTTGTCAAAGAATGGCAGATGATAACAGCCATGGAAATAATCCCATTGGGCTGACATCATTGCTGCAGTATCCTTTCTGCATTCCTGTTTTCTAAAACATTTCATAGTCTAGTGGCAGCTAGCTGGATGTGTACATGGTTGCAGCTGCAGCTTTTATTATTATTTTAAAATATAATCCTTTTTTACACCAAAGTGGTACTTATTCCAAAGTAAATGTGCCTAGGAGGGCAGCAGAAACAAGTTCATTCCATTCTACAGCATCATGATAGTGGTAAGATTTGAGTTTAAATGCGAAAGTGCATATGCTCAGAATATATATATTATATATAAATCACAGTTGCGAGTCCTTCTTGTTTTGTTGTTTTGCTCTAACATAGTAGGAATGCAGAAACAGTTGCAAAATGGAAGCAGGGATAAGAAGACAAAGCCCCTGCCTCCATCCTAGGACCAGTAAAATTTCCTAGCTGCACCATTGGCACATGTAGGTTCCATTCCACAGGTATCCTGGCTGCCGCTGGGAATCCCTCATTGCCAAGCTGAGAGTTGCTGAAGCACGTGTCAGTTTTGCACTTACAATCCTAGTTGCAGCGGCAAATCCCACTCTGCAGCATGAGGCTCCAACTGCCACAGTCCGGCATTGCATTTCCATCAATCCATCAAAAGCTTTCTCTCTACTGGAGGGCTGACTGCTATTATGAAATGGAATTCATGTCTTACGTTTTAAGGAAAAGATTTCAGACATTCACAGGATCCCAAAACAGGGCTACCTATCTTTCAAGCATCTGACCTAACGGGGAGATCCAGACATACAGATTGGATCCAAAATTTACACAAGAGAAGTTATTTTCATGGAACTTCCCCCTCATGGAAGATGGAAAGAAGGTACTTTTTGCTAATTCCCCCAACTGTTCCTTAGACTTGCCGGATCTTCTGAAAGAATATGGGGGCTGAAGGCCACAGGGAGAAAAAGGAAACTCTTTCTGTGAGCAACATCTTCTGCTTGATTGGAACCTTTCTGTGAACAGAAGCATCCCTTCCATTCATAGATGAGTTACTCTGTGGGCATAAATGGACAAGAAAGTCCTTAAATCTAGAAGCTCTGTCTTCTTTTCATGTTTGTTTTGGAATATGTGCAAAGCCCAATCTAAATTTTAAAAGTCCCATACCAGCGTTCCAATCTATATTGGGGACTCTGCACATACTGCTATACACAGATAATGTCCGTTTTGATTCTCTGAATCCAAGCTAATTATCATGCAATGGACAGCATCCAATTCAGCCTTTGCACTAGTGGGAATGGCCACAAGCA